GCTGCTGGCTCTTTCCAGTTGAGCTGATTTCCTAGCAGCTGCTTGCCCAAGTTTTTGATGAGCAAGATTACTTTACCTGTTTTGTGCTGTTCTTTATCATTAGCAGGGCATGAGAATTTGCATTATTTTTCTTTCACATTCTGCTAAGAATAAACCCTAAACGTAATTGGGAAGTTTAGATAGGACCAGGATCAGAAGTCAAATTTATGTTCTCATATGAAAGGACATCAGCAGCTCCCATACGTCTTACTGATTTTAACTACTGAGGTCCCACTGAAATGATTAGCTGCTCTAATTCAATGGCTGGACTCCTTGCCTTGGGTTTCAAGGGTTACTCCCCTTTTATTTACTCAAGTTCTCCAGCTGCCTCTGACAACTTCTGAGTCACTCTAAAGTTAGCAGCCACTCAGGCTCAGCCTGATGTTTGGGGTTCACCCTGCATGCCCCACAGCCCATGGCATTGAGCCCGTGGGGAGGGACTGTGGAGGTGGGTGCTCTACCCCAGTCTTTCTTCAGTGAGGTGCAGAGAGGAAGATGTGTTCTACTGCACCCATGGTCAGTCTGCTCTGTGGACAGAGTTCTGGGAACAAAATGAACCCAAACCATCCTCAGCCTGAGAGTGGGTGAAGGAGCAGCAGAGTTCTGCCCCTGGCTCCTTAGGGAAGCTGGAGTTTGACACTTCCCACCTCCCAGGACTTCCTGCTTGGAAAACTGCACACCTCTGCTTCAGACCAGTAACTACTTTCCAGGAACTTTCAAAAAAAAAAACAAAACAGCTTTACAGTACATACCACCAGGAAGTTCCTTCTGATAACTTGAGCCCTTTGTGCTATGGATGTAGCTTATTTTATTTTGGCCTACCTTTGTTAGAGACGGTACACAACAGCCTTCCATTCAGTAGTTTTTTATCCTCACCCAAGGACATGCTTATTTGACTTTTTTTATAGAGAGGGGGGAAGAGGGAAGGGGAAACATCATTGTGAGAGAGAAACATCAATTGGTTGCCCCTCATTCACATCCTGACGGGACAGAACCCACAACCTAGTCATGTGCCCTGACCGGGAATTGAACCCACAACCTTTGGGTTTATGGGATGACACTCCAGCCAACTGAGCCACACTGGCCAGGCCTACTTACCTTATTCTTTTCAATTACAGTTGACATTCAATATTATTTTATATTAGTTTCAGGTGTACAGCAGAGTGGTTAGGCAATTAGATAATTTACAAAGTGATTCCCCAGATAATTCAAACACCCACCTGGCACCATACATAGTTATTACATCATTATTGACTATGTTCACTATGCTCTACTTTACATTCCCGTGGCTATTCCTTAACTATCAATTTATACTTCTTAATCTCTTCATCATTTCACCCAGCTCCCAACTTCCTCACTTCTGGCAACCATTAGTTTGTTCTCTGTATCTACAAGTCTGTTTCTGTTTTGTTTGTTTATTTTGTTCTTTAGATTCCACACATAATGAAATCATATGGTATTTGTCTTTCTCTGTCTGACATTTCACTTAGCATATTCCCTCTAGGTCCATCCATGTCATTCACAAATGGTAAGATTTCATTCTTTTTATGGCTGATTTCATTCATTTTATGGCTCCCTTCTTTTTGTTTTTCCATCATATATATACCATATCTTCTTTATCCATTCATCAATCAGTGGACATTTAGGTTGCTTCCATATCTTCGTTATTGTAAATAATGCTGCAATGAGCATGGGATGCATATATCTTTTTGAATTAATGTTTTGGATTCTTTTGGACATGTATGCAGAAGTGGAATTGCTGGGTCATAAGGCAGTTCCGTTTTTAATTTTTTGAGGAACCTCCATACTGCTTTCCACAGTGACTGCACCAATCTGCATTCCCACCAACAGTGCATGAGGGTTCTCATTTCTCCACATCCTCACCAACACTTGTTTTTTGTTGGTTTATTGATGATGGTCATTCCGACAGGTATGAGGTGATCTCATTATGGTCTTAATTTGCATTTCTGTGATGAATAGTGATGTTGAACATCTTTTCATATGTCTATTGGCCATTTGTATGTCCTCTCTGAAGAAGTGTCTACTAAGGTCCTCTGTCCATTTTTAATTGGATGGTTCGTTTTATGGTATTAAGTTGTATGAATTCTATCTGAATTTTGGTTATTGATCTCTTATCAGATATACCATTGGCAAATATCTTCTTCTGTTAAGTATGCTGTCTTTTTGTTCTGTTGATGGTTTCCTTTGTTGTGCAAAACTTTTTAGTTTGACATGTTCCCATTGCTCAAGGAGATATATCAGAAAAAATATTGCTAAGAGAAATGTGAGAGAGTTTACTGTCTATGTTTTCTTCTAAGAGTTTTATGGTTTTGAGTCTTATATTTAAATCTTTAATCCATAGGGAGCTTATTCTTATATATGGTACAAGAAGGTGGTCTGTTTTCATTTTTTGTATGTATCTGTCCAATTTTTTTTTAATACCACTTACTGATTAGACTGTCTTTACCCCACTGTATATTCTTGCCTATTTTTGTCATATATTAATTGACCATATAGGCATGGGATTATTTCTGGGCTCTCTATTCTGTTCCATTGGTCTGTGTATCTTTTTATGCCAGTACTGTGCCATTTTGATCTTTTTAATGTATTGATGGATTTGGTTTGCTAATATGAAAATTTGTATCTATGTTATTTATCAGGGATAATGGCCTATAATTTTCTGTTTTTGCAATGTGTTTGTCATGTTTTGCAGTCAAAATAATCTGGCCTTGTAAAACAAGCATGGGAGGCTTCCCTCTTGAATTTTTTGGAATAGTTTGAGAAGGATAGGTGTTAGTTCCATAAAATTAAAGATCTCTCTGACTTGTCTCCATCAGAAAGAATTTAGATTTCCATAAGCTTGTATCATTGCCTCATCACCCAAACCTTTTGTTATCTTTCTCAATTGTAGTTTTCAACACCCTCCAAAACTTGTCTTTTAAGTTAGAAAGACCGTGACTTAATGAGACCTTTCATTTCCAGAAAATACTCCTAGTGCCTAAAGAAAAATAAATTTCAGTAGGATGTATTTCATTGGAGAAAGGGCATAGAAAAAAAGAAATTAGATCCTTTATCTAAATAGCATATTGTACCACAGATGAGTTTTCACTCTCTCAACTGTTTTTGAAACAGTTTTTTTTTTTATTAACTTAATCCCTCTGAGATTCTAACTTCTAAAACACTATGATTTGCATTCTTCTGTTGGGTATATGGCTTCTGGATCTGAAGAAAGGCAAGGTGTGTGGCCTCTAATCACCTAGTAGACAATAAAAGACCCAGGGCTGGCAATGGGGCTGCAATTAAGCTTCTTATGTGGAAAAGGGGGAGAGGAAATATCTGTTTTCCAGTCTCTTCCTCAGCAGCTTCTGTCCCAAGAAATTCTGCTCCAAAGGGTTCACAGCATCAGTCCAGCTTCTTCATACTCCATCCTACCGCAGGGAGGCTTGTGTTCTGTGATGCTGTTCTGCTTAGCTGTGCAGATTTCTTTATCCTGATCCTTCAGGATTCGTGCTCAGATTCTCAGGAGGGGAAGGAAGGCATTGGACTTACCTGTGAGCTGTGGAGCAGAGAGGCAGTCTGGCCCTCACTCAGCAGTCCCTCAGTCAGGCTGCTCTGAGCACGTTACCTGACTTCCTTCCCCCATCCTTGTATAGAGGGGAGAACTTGGGCTGCAGATGACCTCTGAAGTCCCTCCATGATCCTCACAGCCTCAGTTGTTCCCACTGCTCCAGAGAGGGACCAGAAAAAGGAGAGAGGAGTTGGGTTCAGCACCCAGGTAGGAAAAGGAGACTTTGCGAGAGTGTTGATTTAACTAGAATTTTCTACCCTCTCTCCTCACTCCCAGGGACCCAGAATCAGTATAGCACAAAGGGATGGGATAACTGTGCATTGATTATCACCCATGTGTCAGGCACTGTGTAAGCAGCTGTCTTTCACTGCCGCAACCCCCATGCAAACCCCACCTGTCCCTACCCACAGGAGTCTACATCTTCAGGTCTCAAGGCAGTGTCACTTCCTTACTGAAGCTGTCCCTGACCCATCAGCCTGGATAGGTTAAGTCTCCCCATCCTATGTTATAGTTCCCTGTACTTTCCCTTCATTGCCCTGACCACAGATGTAATTAACTAATTACCTGTACAGTTAGCGTTTCCATGACTGCTCTTTTGGGCTGAACTCTCCAGGAGGGCAGGGACCATGAAGTCTTGTTTTTCACTGTATTCCTAGAGCCTAGCACAGTGGTGACAAAATTATAGCAACTCTGCAAGTGTTCCTTGAATAACCATAAGCATGAATGCATGAATGCATGGACAACCAGCAAAGTTGGATATAAACCAGGGACCCTCTGGCTCTTGGAGGCCAGTCTGAACTTTCAGAAGTCCTCTGCTGTGCTTGCACGCAGGGTCTCACTCTAGAACCATCCTTGTTACTCCAGCAGTGGGTGTGGTGGCAGCCCTGGCCATGACCCCAAAAATGGATCCAGCCTGTGACTGGTTGTGGTGCTTGGAAGTGTATGTAAAAAGGCACTGAACTGAACCAAACCAAATGTTCTTGTGGGCATTTAGCTCCACTTCCTAACACACTTTGCCAAGGGGCTACCAGTAAAAAAAAAATGGTCTGTAAAGGTCTGGGTCAGTAATGATGAGTGGATGCAAATGAAGGAGGAAAAACCAAGACATGACAGCCTTTAGGGAAGCAGAAATCAAACTAATGCAAACCTGCTGAAAATAGGCTGCATGGGCTGTCAGGTTGCAAGCAGATCCAGGGCTAATCACATGGAAATGAATTACAAGTGCTGTGTCCCTGTGCTGGCTGGGATCCTGGGGGGAGTCCACTGCTCCGCTCCTCCCTCACCACTGAGGAGGCCTGGATGTCTCTTACTTAACACTCAGCTCTTGCCACTGTGATGAGAAAAGCTGATAGGAGGCTAAAAATACTAACAATAGAAATTTGATTTCTTCCAGACAAAAAGCCTTGGCATCCACAGGAGGAAGAAGTGTTCAGGCAGCATGTGACTGGTTAGTATAAAATAAATAAGTGGAGAAAATAGCATATAATTAACTCTAAGTATATGTGGATGAGTAGGGATGAGCAGCTCCTCTTTAATGAGCCCGGGGGTGGGGGGGGGGCTTTATTAGAGAGAAGGAAGAGATGAGTCAAAAGCCCATGTGACTAGACCATTTATCAAGCCAGTTGCCTCCTCTGCCCTGGCCCCAGAGTATGCTTCCCTTTAGCAGTGGTTAAAGAAATTAAAAGTACTTCTAAGAGAGAGTCCCTATCACAAAATCTGCCCTCCCTCCAGTCACTTAAAGACACACTTAAGTGTGAGGCTGCTGGGCAAATCAGTTTAGAAAAAAACCTACCTACTTACCTTTCAGGACATTAGTACACAGGGCAGATCCTACAAGGCAACCCTCCCAAGTTTCCCTTGTGTTTTGGAAGCACACTGGTTTAATTGTTGATGAAACTGAAGGACCAGGCCATGTTGAAACTGTGCTGGTGGATGAGGAAAGGATTTGGAGTTTATCTGAGAATGCTTCCTGGAGAGTGACTTCAGGTATTTTAGGGAGTTGTGGAGGGCGGATGCAGTATGACAGGCAGCAAAGAAGTTGTTGTGTCTGAAAGATGGTTACGAAGTGTGAGCTTAGAGGGGTGGATTTTTTTAAAGCACAAAAATGAAACCCTTTCCCTTGCAGTGCCTGCAGTGTGGTGCATGTGTAGGGCGGGCCTGTCTCTGAGGTCTCCCTTCCCTTCCATCATTCTCAGGAAAGGCCTGCCCAGCTCTCTTGTCCTTTTCTCTTGCAGGCTGTTCTCCCATGTGGGTGACCCCTTCCTGGATGACCCCCTGCCCCGGGAGTACGTGCTCTACCTCCGTCCCACAGGTCCCTTGGCACAGAAGCTCTCTGACTTCTGGCAGCAGTCAAAGCAGATCTGCGGGAAGAACAAAGCACACAACATCTTCCCCCACATCACCCTCTGCCAGTTCTTTATGGTGAGCCTGGTGCCCCATCCCAGCCCGCTGTCTGGGACCTGAAGTCCAAGCTGAAGACTCATGGGAATCTGGCAGAAACAGTTGGGCTCCCAGTGATGGGTGGGCCTTCAGGGAATTGGTGAGGCCCATAGCTCCTCCTTTTGATGTGCTGAGGCCAGGAGCACCCCCGGTTCAGTGTGGTGTCACGATGCCATGTGCACTTCAAGACCCTAAGTTCAAACCTGACCCACTCACTGACACGTGGTCTGGCAGCCACCATGGGGATGGCTTCATTGACCCACTTCACCCTTACCTATAGTCCACCTTTCCCTCTCACAACAAGGAAAGTAGAAATTAGGGAGCTGGAAATGAGAAAGGAGTCTGTAGACAGGGAAAGCCACAGGAGCCAGTAGCCACCCTTCACAGGTTCTCACTCAGTACATTTTTTTAGAAATGGCAAAGACACCTTTCACCTGGCATAGTAACCTAGTCCATAATCCTAGCTACCACAAAGCTTATTTGATGACCAAATTAAATCCTTCTCCCTATAATAAATGTATTAATCTACTTTAGCTTTCTGTGGAGATGCGGAAGAACTGATTTATACAGGTATATTTAAGACAAGGCAGAATGGTAGCACTTTAAGACAATATTTTGTTTATTTGCTCTCTTTGTTCCGCTCCTTCCCTCCCTCCCTTTCTTTACATAAAAACATGTTCCTAACACTTTCTCACCATTCACTCAAAAATTAAAATGATTATAATTTCCTCTTAGTCATCCTGGCTGTTTCTGACAACTTTTCAGAGTCTTATAGACATTCAGTCTCTCCAGCGCTCTGGGGCGGGTGGGGCAGCGCCACAGTGCTGTGAGTGGTGCCTTCCCCACCGGAGCGGGGGTGGAAGCCAAGTCTGACCATCTGAGAGGAGCAGGAAGAGCACAGATGACGCACAACAGTAGAGAACACATGAGAATGTGCCCTAGGTACTGTGTGTTCTCCTAGGACCTCCCTCTGTTCTCCTTCTGCGGGACCAGTGCCCCTCAGTCTGGTGGTTCCCAGGGACACAGCAGAGCAGGGAGGGAGCGGGGATGTAGGCCACTGCGCATGTTTAATATACCAGTTGGGTAGTCCCCTTCCAGATACCTGGGAGCTTGCAGCTCTTCTCCCTCCTCCCAGACTGAGGTGATGATTTAGTAACTGCTGCTCAGAGCAGAGGACCCAGCGCTCACCAACATGGACGTCCCTCCCGGGCCTTTGAGTGAAGCTGCCCCTCTCCCCACAGTGCGAGGACAGCAAGGTGGACGCGCTGGTGGAGGCACTGCAAACCACGGTGGGTCGCTGGAGGTGCAAGTTCTCCTCCCCGCTGCCCCTGGAGCTTTACACCTCGTCCAACTTCATCGGCCTCTTCGTGAAGGAGGAGAGCGCCGAGGGCCTCAAGAAGTTTGCCGCAGACTTTGCCGCGGAGGCTGCGTCCAAAACCGGTGAGCCAGCCCGGCCTCTAGGCCAGCCCTAACCTTGTGATGACGGTGCTCTGAGAAAAAAGGGGCCACGCAGGTTGGGGGCTCCCCTTCACCGAAGGAAGGAGACTCACTCACAGGACAGGTCCTGTCCATCCTCCAGTGTAGGGAGACCGCGGGGTGTGGGGCCAGAGGCACGCAGGAGGAGCAGGATGTGCGCAGAGCAGAGACTGCAGCTCTGCGCGGGATGGGCCCAGGTCTGAAACGGAAGACTTGACTGCAGCCCAACTGTGTCCCCGGACTTCTGACTTTTGGCCTCTACCTCACCTGCCAGTGCCCCTTTCTGCTCTTCTCATCTCCTACCAGGGACCTTCTGCTCTGCCTCCTTCTTTTCGAGAAAAACCCAAATGGGGCTGGGGACTGCGGGCAGGGCATGGTCAAGGCCAGGCACGGCTGAGCAAGTCCGGGAGAGGTCTCTGCTCTCAGAGGGACTGCAGGCCTGCAGGACACCTCCTCTGCGTGAGGAGGGGGGACTCAAAGACCCCTCCCCTGCAACCCTCTTCTCCTGGGTTGCCTGGGCGCCGTCTGACTTCGGGGAGCCTGTCCGTTCCCAGGAGCTTGCTATTCAGAGAATGGCAGCGGAAGAGGGAAATGACCTCCTGCTCCTGCCCCTCTGTCTCATGGAAAGGGCTCTGTCACCCCGCAGCAGCTACTGTCAAAACCACTACAACTCCCAAAAAAACAAAGCCAGTGTTGCAACCACAAAACCCAAACCCTTCACAAATGAGCCAAGCGGCTCCCAGCCAGGCCCAGCTGAGGGAGAGACTGGCGGGCAGGCCCTGCAGGCTTCCCTTTCCGGGAGGAGGAGGAGGCGTGGGTCTCCTCCAGACCCTTCGGCTACAGGGCTGCTGGCGGAATCCTCCGCCCTCTCCTGCCCCCTGGTGGTGGCTGGGAGCACTGGGGGCCCTGCCCTGCGCAGCTGGCTCAGCCCCTTCCAACCTGAGAGCAGGACATCCTGGCTTGCTCTGCACCTTATGCCTTGGTATTCCAGATCCCTTCAGCAAGTAGTCTTGAGTGTGGTCCTCCATCCTGGGTACTTTGAGGAGGTTCACACATGTGTGTCTTTAGTAATTTAACAAGCACTGAAAGCCTGTCATGTGCTGAGCACTGGGATACAGTGTGAACAAGACCCAAAGCCCTTGCCTCTTGGGGCTCACACCAAAGAAGTACAGTGCAGTATAACAGAAAAAGCTCTCGAAACCAAAAGGTCCAGCCTCTGCTTCCATCTTTGTGTGACTTGAGCCCCTTAATTTCTCAAATTCCCAAATTCCCTCTGGCTGCATCTTCTCCTTGTCCAGTTCGGACAGCAAACATGTACAAAAGAGAAATAAAAGCCGTTCCTTTGAGGGTAGGTTGGTTGGTTTTGTTTTGTTTTTGAGGATGTCTTAGAATAATAGTCTGCCTGCTTTAAAACGATGGTTCTCAGCCAGGGCAGTCTTGCCCCCAGGGGATGGATATTTGGCAGTGTCTGGAGTCATTTTGGTTGTCCTAGCTTGGGAGGTGCTTGCGTGGAGATCACAGAGGCAGCTAAGCCCTACAGTTCACAACAAATAATTATTTGACACAAATGCTTTGAGAAACCCTGTTTTAAACTTTGAAAATATTTTTTTCCTTTATTTCTCCATCAGAGCCACCCAGAAGCTGAGAGGCCTGATTTCAAAACAAAGGCACTATACCTCTGAGAACTGCATGATTACAAAATTTTCTCTTTATTGCTCCATGAATTTGTCCACCCCCTCAGGCCTCAGTTCCCGCCTCCAAATGGTGGGGTTGGTGATCATCAGGGTTGCTGTGAGGAGCAGCCAACCCAAATGGTCACCTCTCAGCTGGTTCACAGCTCCTACAGAAGTGCTGCTCTTTCTCAAACTGTGGGTAGATTCAGGATTTGTTACCCACCCCGCCCCCTTTATTCTGTACCTGCGAAGGAGAGGAACAGCATTTGTCTAACAGCGGACTCCGTCTTTTTTTCTTTGGGGAGCCAGTTTCCATATTCTTCCTGAAGTCTCCCCCACTGCCATGATCACCACGTTCTAATAACTGGCAATTTCCTTCTTCTTCCAGAAGTCCATGTGGAGCCTCATAAGAAGCAGCTGCATGTGACCCTGGCTTACCACTTCCAAGCCAGCCACCTACCCACCCTAGAGAAACTAGCCCAGAACATTGATGTCAAACTAGGGTGTGACTGGGTGGCCACCATATTCTCTCGGGACATCCGATTTGCAAACCATGAGGTAACGTCTCGCTGTGGCCCCCGCCACACCCAGTACCACCAGGTGCAGTCATTAGCTCACTGTGACGGGAATGTGGGCCCCAAAGTAAGCCCATGAGGAAAGACCAGACCAGGGGTCTATGACCCAGGACTTTGTTCAGGACTCTGCCCAACTCAATAGGAAGCTTTGAGCCTGAATCCTTCCTCTCTGGGTGCCAAGTGGCTCATCTGTGTGAAAGCCCATGGTTCTCCCTGCCCAGACAGCCTTATTGGAATGACACAGAAGTGAAATGGGAGAGTAGGTAGAATAGTATGCTGGAAGAGTTTAAATATTCTAGCAATTCACGGTGGTAACAGATAGCAGACATCATCCTGATCTTAGTTGAGGAGAAGAGCGCGTAAATAAATAAAAAAAATCTGTGAACATACAATCAACACATATTTGCTGACCATCTGCAAATGCAAGGTACCATGAAACATACTAGAATTCTAAAATGCGGTGTTGTCTTCAAGGAGATTTGAGTCCAACAGAGGAGAGACAATAGCACATGAAATGACAGCATATACTAAGCAATGTGAGAGTTTGTATGCATCACACAGGAAGCATGAGTGGGAAATGTGAACCCCCATGCAGTTGGAAAGGCTGGTGTGGTCGTAGCATTATTGTTTGGAGGGAACTGACGTTGTACTCCAGGACAAGCACAAATATCTCTGAAGAGTAATATTGTCCTTTTGATTCCTGAAGGAGAAGCTGAGACACAAAGAGATTGAGTGGCTGGCTCAAAGCCAAATAATAATTTAGGACCAGTGCTGAAACCAGAATTCAGGTGCTCTGACCAGTAAAGATGGGCCATCCAACCCAAAAAGAACCTCATAGTTTGGTGAAAATTTTGTCATCCAGTTTAACTACTTTTATTAAACACCACATATTTGTTTCCTAGTTTTTCAACAGAAGAACTGACTTATTAAAGTTTACATAGCCTTTTAATATTACTTTTTTAAAAAGATTTTATTTATTTTTAGACAGAGGGGAAAGGAGGGAGAGAGGAAGAGAAACATCAATGTGTGTTTGCCTCACGCATGCCCCTACTGGGGACATGGCCCACAAACCAGGCTTGTGCCCTGATTGGGAATCAACCCAGCAACCCTTTGGTTCACAGGCCAGTACTCAATCCACTGAGCCACACCAGTCAGGCTAACATCTCTTTGAGGTATTTCTTTTCATATGAAAAATAGTTAGAACCTCAGGATCCAGACGAGACAACTTCATCGTTGATTGAGAAGTATTAGGAAGAGCCAGTCATACACCCGAGGTGCAGGCCTGGTCATGAGGCCTGTGAGTGTCAGGGGCATGGGCTTTTGTCTGACTCCGCCGGTGGAAATGCCATGTCCTCCTTCTGAGTCATTTGATGAAAGTTTCTGTGAAGATGCAACAAGGAGACCTGGGCTTGATCTTACTTAATTCTGACATCTCCTGGAAATTGCTTAGTATGAGCCCTAAATATAACAAGAGGTGTGGCTGATTGGACTCCTTCCTTCTGAGAACAACAACAACAAAAAAATCAAGTGTTGCATCCATCCAAATGGACTCCGGGAAGTTGCCTTTCTACGAAAAGAATGGTGGCAATGGAGTTTTATAAGGAACCTCTTCTAATCAACACTGTCCTCCAGCTAACCCAGAGGGCAATTGCTTTTCCGCCTGACCCACATTGTGCTCAGTTGGCACTAAAGGAAGGAGGCAGCGAGTGTGCACATGAATTATTTTCTAAAAATAACTTGGCCTCTTTTATCTCTTATTTGTTAAAGTCGTTTATTACTGTTCCTTCTGATCAAGTTCTCCCTCTGAGGTCATTTGGATTTACCTGAGCCCCTGTGAACATAAACCAGCTCTTGCCTTCCCTCTTCTGTTCCTGGGAGGCAAGTTTGATTGGTCATTCCAATAAACAAACAACATCTAGAGAAGGAAGTAGTGTAGGCAAGGACACTCAGCCAGTGATACACAGGAAAACTACTGCATCTCATCCCCCTCCTGTTTAGAGTCTCACTCCACTGGGACTTGGAAATGCTGTGTTAGTGATACTTGGGCCAAGCAAGTCTTACATGCCAAGCAATAGAAATCTAGAAGAAGGAGAGATTTGTACAAAAAAACATAAATTCTGGAGACCAGCACACGTGGCTTCAAATCCTGGCTCTATCACGCTAGCAGCTGTTGAGTCACTTTTGCAATTCCTGTAACTCCAGTTCTTAGTTTTCTCCCGTATAAAATGGCAACGGTATTTTGCTGGACTGTTGTGTGGGCTGAAGAGAAAGATCTAAGGGGAGGCCTGGCACAGAGTGGGTGCAACAGCAACAACTGATGCTGCAGCTATTGCTGCTCCTAAGAGAAAGGGCTTCGAAGGTAAAGAAGGTCAAGTCCTGTCATCACACAGGTTTGCTACTGTCCTTCCCATGAGCCCAGTCAGCAAACTGCATGCTTATTAGTTCCCGTGTAGGAAGGGAGATGAGGCGTTCTTGAAATGGACTCAAGAACTCTTACAGTAGATGCCAAACCAAAGGGGAAGTTGATGCCTGTGTCCTGATCTCTCTCAAACTCAGGCTGCCTCATGCAAGTGCTTCTGAGGAGGGGCACATGCACACGCCTCACAGTTTCAGGTTCGCTGCAGTGCCTCCATATTATTTTGTTTTGTTTTGTTTTGTTTTGCTTATTCAGTAAATCAAATCTGCCTTTTGTCTGACTGCACTCTGCCTGGAACACCCTGTCTCCGAGCCTCCTTTGTTGCTTTTGCATTTCCCTGGAGGTAATACCCCTCAGTCATAGGAGGAGTGAGCTCTTCCCAGAAGTCATTTAGGATTTCTGAGAGAAAAGGCACTACAGGACCAAAGCTGTTAGCTGAGACTCTGCTGTGCTTGAGTGTCTAAGGAAATGAAGGAGCCAAGTCTGGAATTGCTCCAAATGACCTGGGGCCTCACTTCACCCTGTTCCTGGAAAAGGGATGTGCCTTTCGGTGGGTCATCCCATACCTGACCATTCACCGGGTTTCTTGTGAATGCTTTTTTCCTTTGAGCTGTTTTAACAACCCCTCAGAAAACCTCCTGGGGTAGTTTGTGAATGTGGTTGGAGTGTGTGTGAGGCAGTGGGAAAGGAAAGGAATGGAGATGTGGTTGAGGGCGCCGAGGACCCAGAGCTGCAGGATGCTGATGTGGGGAGAGGAGTGCCGCCCTAAGAGGGAAATCAGTCAGAAACCAGGTGCTGCCATTGGGTTCTGTGCGTTATCACTTTCATTCTCTGAGAAAAGTCATGTTTTCACTGACTCCTTTTATCAGAGAGTTTCAGAAGTGAAGTCTTCCTCTGAAACGTGTTCTGATGTATCTTTGACACTAGCGAGCTGCATCACTCACAGGCCTTCCCAGCACGTGGTCGGGGCCAGGTGGGCCGGCTGGAAGGCAGGAGGACCCCTGAAAAATGAGGCATCGGGGGTCCATGGAAACAGCCGTGCCCCTTCTCTACACAAGGCTCTGTCCTAAGGACTTTTCTTAGGTTGTCTCTTTTCACTTTTGTAGTCCAGGTATTATTTTACAGATGAAACCACTGAGGCCAAAGTTAAAAACCTGAAAGTAGAGCCAGAAGCTGGGGCCTGCCACCAGTGGCTTGGTGACCATTGGAAACACTGTTACAGAATTTCCATCTTTGTGTCCCATGTGCAGCAAACAGGATAGGAAATGTTTTCCTTGCTATTGAGGCCTCCTGTTGTTAATTAAAGAAATAGTAAAATGAATGTATTCCAAAGTATCTTTATGCCTGTGCCTATGATGTTTATATACACCAGGAAAGGAGGCAAACAATGGAATAAATCAGCCAAGCCGCATGGCCTGTGATTGGCCCTGGGGGCTTTTTCTGAGCCCGGAAAAGGAACACTTGAGCTCTTCATCTGTTCCCTGGTGAGAGTTGGTTACACAGACTTAAACACTGATGGCTGTAAAAGATACTTTCCTTTCAAGCTCTTTGTTATAGATGCAGGTTTAAAGAAAGCTCCTTTGAGGCAGGGCACCGAGCCTTGCTGAAGCTGCTGAGTTGCACAGAAAGGGCAGTGCTTGCTCCCACAGCCTTGTTTGCGGGCATTCTCTGCTTCTGGCCCATCCATACCCCTGCCCCCTTGTGGAAGACTTCACTTTTCATGAGCTGAGTTCCAAGTGTCCCTTAAAGTGCCTGCCTGGCACTGAGCAACGGAAACCAGGTCCAACCCCATTTGCACCGCAGTTCACAGAAGAGCCTATGGGCTTTGAGATACAGTTTTAAAAACCATATGTGAATCCTGAAGAGAAGCAAAGATACTCCAAAAGGAAAGTCTCAAACCATCCAGTAGTAGCCGGCACATACCTACCTTACCCTAAAAAAAGAAAAAGAAAGAAAGAAAATACTTTTCTTATCTGAATTCAAATCTCTTCGGAGCCTTTGTCCCCCAGGGGCCCTATAAATGCCAAACTCTGGATGTGCGCTCTTAAAGCAGAACACGCAGCTCTGCCTGGCAGCGCTGGGGAGAGTGGGTCAGATGTGGGCCTCACGTACCCTCTCTTTCAGACATTGCAGGTGAACTACCCCTACACCCCACAGAATGACGATGAGCTGGAGCTGGTCCCTGGGGACTTCATCTTCATGTCCCCCATGGAGCAGACCAGCACCAGTGAGGGCTGGGTCTATGGCACATCCTTAACCACTGGCTGCTCCGGACTCCTGCCTGAAAATTACATCACCAAGGCTGATGAATGTAGCACCTGGGTGTTTCACAGGTGAGCTGATTCCAAGTTCTTTGCCTGCTGTTTTCTGAGAAACATTACAGACTTTTGGAGGTGGTGGGAAGTAGACTTGATTCTAGACACACAGGCCACAGCCACTGTCAGTAGAGTCCATGGGGAGAAAACTCTGCCGGTCCCAGACTTCCAGGAAGGGCTCACTGGGGTATTGGGAGAGGTGAGCCGTGGACCACTCGCTTCACTCTGCCTGCCCCCACCCACGTGGCCATCCGTCTGAGTTCCGGATCGGAGACTACACTGAGGCTGCTTTAGGGTCCATCTCTTATGACTGAAGCGTGGGTCATCCTGGTGCTGAGTCTAAATGGCATTAGGTTTCTGTCACTTCGTCCTGCATCACTGCTCAGAGTGGTCCAACTTGCCCGAGCAGCTAGGCAGAGTCATACCACACCAGCCAGGCCAGTGACGAAAGGGTCTGCAAGTATCAGGAGACCTAAATGCCCCTCATTTCAGAGGTGGCTCTGAGCAAGTGCTCCAACGTGGCACTCCGATGCCTAGGTGACAGAATGTGTTTAAGGAAGCGGGCAACTGCCAGACCATTACAAAGACTCACGGTCCCCCCCCACCAACCCCGTCTCCTTTAGAGTGACAGCTTCCCACTGACCCACCACACACTGCTCCCCTGTCCAGACTGCCTTGTGTAGTGTGGCTAGCTTTGTCTCCATCAATAAACCAGAAACAAAAGGCACCTCCTCTTTCTTTACCAGAGAAGTTCAGAGCCAGCTCTTCCCTGGCACACACAGGCGGCTCCCCAGTGTGTGCATGCTGTTGTTTTTCCTCCCTGGTGTTCTTGCCACGTGCTACCACCATGGCTCAGAGCTGGGGGCCTGGGCAGCAGCTGCATGAATCTGACATTGTTATTGTCACTACGAAGGAGAAGCAGAAAGGAGCAATTTCAGGGAGTGTTTTGCCTGAAGGGAGGAAAGAAGAAAAGTTCCCCGACCCTGGTTAGCAGCAAGCAGACAAGCCACAAACCCAGAGATGGGAAAGAACATCTTCCTCCTTAATCACTCAGTTCCCAGCCACTCCCCACCCTTCCTTCTTGTGCACCTCCTACCCCACCCCTACCCAGTGAACATCAGTATTTTGTGGCACAGATTGGAAGCTTAAAGCTGTTTCATATTCCCCAAACATTTGCTTTTTCAAAAAAGTTTCTGAATATGAAAATGAATAGTTGGGTTTCCAAAGTTACCCTTTTATCCCTGTGAATACAAGTGAAGCATAATATACCTAAATAAACTGAGAACTGAAAGATTCTGTGACGATGCACAGCTCTTAGCTCACATTCCTAGGAGTAGGGCTCCTGTGGGAGGAGAGTATGTGAGGTGCTTTGCAGACCAGTGTTGGATCGCTGCGTGTGAGCCCGCTCGTGCCCACATCAGAGCTCAGGCTGAGCCGCCGGTGAACCTGCGTGTTGTCTCCCTTTATGTAGGGAGGTTACCAGGGACGCCCTTCCTAGGAACTATGTCCAAAATTAAACCACCAGTTTCCACAGCCAGCCCTGCTGAGAGTGGGGAAATAACTAGCATTAAGTGCTAGGACATTGTAATGAAGAATTTGGCTTTTTATTCCAATAATCTTCAGTTCAAATTCTAGCTCTCCCACTCACCAGTTGTGTGGTCTTGGCCAAGTGACGTTACCTCTGTGAGCCTCTGTTTGCAAGTCCATAAAATGAAGATGATAATTAATTGCAGTTAACTCACAGGCGTGTTATGAAGACTGCAGTCAAGGACTAAGTTTTACATGGATCAGTGCCACATATGTAACAGCACTGGATCTAAAATAGTCATTAGCCTCGGCGATTTTCGTTTTTTTGTAACTGGTGTTTTCTAGTCCTCTTACATGCTCAGCAAATCAAATGTCTCTCCTACAAAGGGGGTCCTGTAGAATTATTATTTTTCTACTTAACCCCAGAAGTGGAAATGACTCAAGGAGGCAGATCTTCTCTCACTTCTGACCCAGGAGAGACTGAGAAGGCAGAGCCTCTCGGTGCTTGCTTAGGGCCTGACTGGCAGGTGGGAAGTTGCTGAGGGGATTCAAGCAACATGTAGAGACTTGGGGCCTATGACCCTTCACAGATGTTCCCACCCTATCCTCTGTTCCCTGAGTTCGTCCTAAAAATACTGTCCTTCCACCCTTAATAGAGAATCTTGCCTGGTTCTGAGTATCCCTAGGTATCTGTCAGTTGGTGAGCCCCACTGTGTACTCAGAATCAGGGTGTGCTGGTCAGTCCTTCTGGGCTTACACTCAGGGCTGGTGTGTCCTAGGGCGATGCCACTGCCTCCCTGACACCAGAATGTTCTGGTGTCAGGTTCAGCTTCTCCCTTACTCTGCTTCTGACACAGAGCATCTGACTGTTTATTGTCTTAACTGGAGCTGACGCCCAAACTGTCTCAGAGTGAATCAGGCCATTTGCTCACAGTGACACTTAAGGAAAGGAGAGTGTCTTTCTCCTGCCAACTGAGCGGAAGGAGAAAGAAAAGGGACTCTCCTCATGTCTTCACAGCGATGATAAATGAAGAAATTACAGGGCAGATACCGCACAATGTTGGGACAATGCCATCCAGACATTTCAGGCCCTAAATCTTTGATGAATCAGAGAGTGAAATTGAATTTTCTTTAACTGTGTGATGTTTGGGAGGGTCTCAGTTTAAAATAAAAGAGAACAACTAGTCTGTTTGGACTGTGTAAATGGCATAAGATTTTCTTGATTTACAGTTGCTTAATTTTACCCAAATAGGTCCCATTTGGACACACATCACAATGAACTGATAGAGCTTTTTGAAACTGTGGCTTCCCAGATCCCACCCCAAGACCTGCTGCACCCATGAGGAATGGGGCCTGGGGTCGGATAGCCATGCGGGCTGAGACAGCACTTTTTTAGGGTTTGAGTCTTCTGTAACCTTTGTGTAGAAGCAGGATGAGTCTGTTTACAGTTACAGAAAGAGACACCTTGGAGAGTGAAAGTTTAAACTTATTAAAATACATTTTTTTCTGAAAGAATTTTTATTAGCCAGTTAGCTTTATTATATTAGTAACTGTAAAAAGTTCTTTTTAAAATTAAAATTCTAAGAATAATGTGTTAAAATAAGCAATCCAGAACTGATGTGAAGCCGCACAGATTGCTGGGACAACAGATGTAAACCAGGCCTGTGCTGGACAGACTGGGGCCTATGGCTACCTTAGTTAGTTGTAAAGAAGCGAGAAATCTGAAATTTAGAAGATTCTCCCTAGCTGCTTCCCAGCCAGGCGAAAGTAGAGAGTCACAGGATTCAAACCGTATTTAAATTGCGATGTTTATTAGATAAAGCTTTTTGGAGGTCTTAACTAATCAAAATGGTTTAAAATGGGACGATCTGCTGCCTCCCTTCTTTAGCAAGACCCCTGGGGCTTCTGTAATTACAGTGTTAAACCCGGAAATGAATTCTTGGCTTGCAGCTCGACGCCTCTTATGAGAACGATGTCCTCGACGATGAGTCTGTGTTTAATGATCTTGTTGGAGGCGGTGTTGAGACTGAAGAAGGTGGAACAGGGGATAATGGCCACGAGGCTTCCTGGACCCCTAGGAGCCACAGGCAAAGTGGTGGAGGCAGTGCAAATGCTCCCTGTAATGTGTGAGTTTGGTTGGAAATCACCATGGAAAAGATTAAAGGCAACGGGAATTGTTTATTTCTTCTGAGCCAGAAAAATAGCTGGAAACAACGGCACAAAATTGATCCTTCATTATTCTTTAATGTGACTTTACTGCCAGCCATGCCTGTGGCATCTTAATAAGCACAAACTCAGAGGCCCTGTCCTTGCCCAAAGGGATGAATTCATCTATTCCAAATAGAGAAATCCTTCTACCCTTAATTATACTGTAAGACTTTTCAGGATAAAGCAAGACACCCTTCCTCAGGAAGGGGCACCCCAGGCTCGCTCTCCCAACCATCACACTGCTCAGGGAGCATTTCTGGCTGACCCCCCCACTCTTGTTCATCCAGGGCAAAGTACTGGTAACTCCTGGGCAAAGCCGCTAACGTCTTCCTTCTCTCCCCTGCAGTTCTTACTCGATCTTAAGTACAGCGCCTTCCCCTGCTCTCTCATTTGGTGATGGCATATTGGAGCGGCGGTCTTATGAGGACCAGGGCTCGGGGGAGATGGCACCCCTGACTGTTATCTGCCAGCCTGCACAGGTAAGGCAGACTGCTAGGGCCCGTCCTCAGCGGCACTCAAGGTTCACTGAGCACCTGTTGACTAGTATGAGGCCTGTAGATATGAAAATGCAAGACTTTGACTGCCAGCATCTGGGCCTAGGCTGATAGGGAAGGCTCTTTCGCAGAGAGGAGAACATGTTATCGATATAGTAGTAAGAGTTTTTCTAGTTCATAGGTCGTTGTGAAAATAAAAGGAAAATAGGGTGGGGGAATGAATGGGTGAAACAAAAGTTGAAGAGTAATAAGAGGTACAAATCCAGTCATAAAATAAGCCAGTTATGGAAATATAATATAAAACAGAGAATATAGTGAATAATATAACTTAGTATGGTGGCAGTGGTTACTAAATATATCATGGTGATCATACCATAAGGTGTATAAATATCGAATCACTATATGCACACCTAAAAGTAATATAATATTGTATGTCTGCTATACTTTAATGAAAATTATTAAATAAGAATAATAAGAAATAATAAGAATAAGGCTGCTGGCACAGTACCTGGTGGATAGTGAGCATTCGGTGTATGTATACTTGATAATGCCAGAAACTGCAGAATGAAGAGTCAGAGAGGTAGTTTCAACAATAAAAGGGCAAGTTGAAAGTTCAAATTTGTTGAGAATTAAGAGATTAGGTTGATTTGGCTGGAGCCCAGGGCTTGAATTAGGGAAGAGAAAGGGGAGATGGAAAGACTGCGTCACATCCCATACAGTAACTTTCTCAGGGCAACTGGCAGCTGATGGAACTGCTGCCAATGGGAAGCTGGCAGCACTAAGGAAACTGAGAACAGCTGACTCTCAGAAAGAAGATGTGGAAACATCTATAGTGATGCACCAGCACTTACAGAAACCAAAGTCATTCGGACTTGCCTTTGACTAGACTTGCCCATTTCACCACCCAGAAGTAGCAGTTGTCCTCACAGAACCATTTCTGGAAGCAGCAGCATGTATGTAGTTGGACAACAGAGCCTAAAAATTGTGATTAGAATAGGGAAAGCAGGGCCTCACTGTTGGAAGAGACCACTGGGCCACATGGCCCAACCACTGCATCAGAGATGAGGCAGACGTATTTGTGATAATAAAAGTCCTCACTCCCTGAGAAGTCGATGAAGCGTCTCTTCAGGGGAGGACACTGTCCCACTAGATGGCTTTCTTTACACGCTAGCTAGTTTTGCCTCTGAGCTGCAGCTCAAGCGGAGTTCATGTTAGTGTTGGCCAAACACCACTTTTACTAACAACAGCAGTAGCTATAATAATACCATTTTCATAACCCTTCTTATTTGGCAAAGCACCCGAAGTTCATTTCATCTGAACCTCAAAATAACTTAAGGTCTGTAGGATGAGTCCTACCACCCCCAATTTTACAGACAGGCCAAGTTACATTGTACATTAGCAAAGCCTGTTCTAGAGTTCAGTCACCTGGTACCAAGACGTGTCTACTTTCTCATGTTTTCCCCACTAATAGCCTTTCTGTGTTTGCAGCCTCTGAGGGTCAGCAGTCAGCCTGGCCCCCAAAAGAGATGCCTGTTTGTGTGTCGGCATGGGGAGAGGATGGATGTAGTGTTTGGGAAGTACTGGCTATCGCAGTGCTTTGATGCAAAAGGTGAGTAGCTGGTCGGCCTGTTCAACATTGCTATTCTTATCATGGCCTCTAGGGAGCACAGTCAAGCTACATTTATCTAGATGGAGGCATTTATGGTTAGGTGGGCAGTAGAAAAACCTGTGATGTATTACATTCATAAGTCCTTCCTTGGTTGCCTTGCGTGTTAGGGAAGAGGTGAGTATTCGTGTGTGCATCCTGTAAACTGGGACACCAGGGGCCAAAGGCAAATGTTTTGCTTATGGTCATATGGCTACATCAGAGACATGGACAGATGTCCCAGCATCAATTCACCCTGACTTATTTTGGCTCCATTTTCCTTTGAGTAACCTGTTTAAGATAAGGAGACTTATATATCACAGAGAAGCCTCCTGCTTTAGAGAGTCTGCTTGCTATTTTTACTTAAAAATTATCTCTTGACCTGACTAGCAGGCTCAGTTGGTTGGGCATTATCCCACAAAGCAAAAAGTCACTCTTTCAATTCCATTCAAGGCACATGACTGCATTGTGGGTTCTGTCCCTGGTCGGAGCGTGTATAAGAGGCAACCAGTCAATGTCTCTCTCTCACATCAATGTTCCTATCTCTCTCTCCCTCCCTTCTTTCCCAAGTCTCTAAAATTAAATAATAAAAACTTTTAAAAAATACCTTATTTCTTGTCACTTTTGTCAGAAGAATAGAAGAGTGGATTCCAAGACATTCTAACAAAGCAAAAGTGTCAGCCTTGATATTTTCTAGAGAGCTCAATTTAGTCTCTTTGGCCAAAAAGCAATGGAAATAGAGAGGCTGTCAGGATCAGCAGAAGTCCTAAGGATACCAGAAATTCACAGCCTTCGTATGACTTTTTTCCTAGGCCGCTACATACGCACCAACCTGAACATGCCTCATAGCTTACCTCAGCGGAGTGGTGGTTTCCGGGATTATGAGAAAGATGCTCCAATAACTGTGTTTGGATGTATGCAAGCAAGACTAGTGGGTAAGCATCAGAGTAATTGCACAGCCACTCCTGGCCACATCTTCAGAATTCTGGTTTCAGTAGGTGTGACAAGACACTTTGTAAGGGACTCTATAACTTTTCTATAAGTAGTACATTTCCTCAAGGGATTTCTTATGTAACCATTTAGTTTAGGACACTGTGCTTAGCCCAGGGTTGGTTTACCAAAATGAATGAGGTGTGATTTCTGTTAAGGGCATATGGTCCACTGATAGGACGAGGTCAGGATTGATGTGGCAGAGAGGTCAGTTCCTAGCACATGGTGAGGAGCAGGGAACCTTGGAATAGCCAGATGTATGGAGGCCAATTAACCCTTTGAAGAGGCCCAGTTCTTTTCAGAGAACCTTGTCCTATTCAATTAGCTAACATGCATCAATTGATCAATTCTTCGTGAAGTGACTATGCTAGTGTTGGGGATCCAAGCGTGAGTCCCCACCCTCAGGGAAACAACTTATAAGTACATAAATATTTTACAATGTGGTATTCAAAAATAAAACTATGCATAGGAGAAAAAACAAACTGTGTACACAGAATTATGGAAGCACAGCAGATCCAGATGGCAGTAGAGTAGGTAGAAGTTGCACTCACCTCATCCCAAGTCCAAAATGGAATTACAGCTGAAACAGAACAATCAACCTGAGTGACCTGCTGAAGACCAGCTGAACAGAAGTCTTACAACCAAGGATGTACAGAAGAAACTACATCTATACTAGTAGAAAGGGTGGAGAAGCAAAAAGGGCTGGCCCTTCACACAAGTGCAGTAGTTGAGAATCTGTAGGAATATCTGAGCGGAAAAGGTCGCCCCTGAGGAGTTTGGAGCCTCAACCCCCATGCTTGACTCTCGAGTCTAGAACACTACAGCCAGGAAGAAGAGCCCACATAACATCTGGCAGTGAAAATCAGCAGGAATCTGTCCACCAGAAAGAGAGAGGAGTCTTCTAGAGACCAAGGTGTCCTCTTAAAGGGCCAACGCACAAAATCTCATTTGCAGCTACTTATCTTGGGAGCTCCCACAGAGGGAGGGCAGCCCAGAGCAAACTGTAATTGTGTGAGGATAGACTGGGCTGTGTGGCTTTGAGGAGAGGACTAAAGGGAAGTTGCCAGGGTACCTGTGCTGATCCCCTCTCCCACACCATCTGAAGATGCCATCTTTCCTGGGTGGAACACTCCCTTCCATACACCATCAGCGTGGGGAGGTCAAGAGTCTCATGCTCCCAACTCCCTGTGGCCCAGCCCTGCTGAGCTCAGGCCCACCTAGGCCCTCAGTGCAGACTCTCTTGGATGGCCCCGAGGAGGTCTGGGCAGCCTCAGGGAGATACTGAGTTGTGTGGCTCTATGGCAGGGCCCGCTGGTTCACACACTCACTGATACTGCTGTTCCTCCTGTGCAGAGGAACATTCACATGGCCATATCCTGATGACTATGCCGGCCTCACGTTTTTAAATATATTATATTGATTATGCTATTACAGTTGTCCCATTTTTCCCTCTTTATTCCCCTCTGCCCTGAAACCCACCTCCCACCCACATTCCCCCCACCTTAGTTCATGTCCATGGGTCGTACATGTAAGTTCTTTGGCTTCTGCATTTCCTATTCTATTCTTAACATCTTCCCATTTTGTACCTACCATTTATGCTTCTTATTCCCTGTGCCTGTTCCCCCATTCTTCCCCACCTGCCTCCCTACTGATAACCCTCCATGTGATCTCTCTTTCTGTGATTCTGTTCCTGTTCTATTTCTTTGCTTAGTTTGTTTTTGTTTTTTTAGTTTCAGTTGTTGATACTTGTGAGTTTGTTGTCATTTCACTATTCATATTTTTGATCATCTTCTTTTTCTTAGATAAGTCCCTTTAACATTTCATATAATGAGGGCTTGGCAATGATGAACTCCTTTAACTTGACCTTATTTGGGAAGCACTTTATCTGCCCTCCCATTCTAAATGATAGCTTTGCTGGATAGACTAATCTTGGATGCAGTTGCTTGCCTTTCATGACTTTGAATACTTCTTTCCAGCCCCTTCTTGCCTGCAAGGTTTCTTTGGAGAAATCAGCTGACAGTCTTATGGGAACTCCTTTGTAGATAACCCTCTCCTTTTCTCTTGCTGCTTTTAAGATTCTCTCCTTCTCTTTAATCTTGGGTTATGTGATTATGATGTGCCTTGGTATATACTTCCTTGGGACCCTGAGCTTCCTAGATTTCCTGGAAGTCTATTTCCTTTGCCACTTCTTTGGGACTCTGTGAACTTCCTGGATTTCCTGGAAGTCTATTTCCTTTGCCAAATTAGGGATGTTTTCCTTCATTATTTTTTTCAAATAAGTTTTCAATTTCTTGTTCTTCCTATTCTCCTTCTGGCACCCCAATGATTCGGAAGTTGGAACTTTAAAGTTGTCCAAGAGGTTCCTAAGCCTCTCCTCATTTTTTGCATTCTTGTTTTCTTCATTTTGTTCTGGTTGAATGTTTATTTCTTCCTTCTCCTCTACATCGTTGATTTGAGTCCTGGTTTCCTTTCCTTCCCTGTTGGTTCCCTGTACATTTTCCTTTATTTCACTTTGTATAGACTTCTTCATTCTGCGACCATACTCAACCATTTCTGTGAGCATCCTGATTACCAGTTTTGAACTGTGCATCTGATGGGTTGGCTATCGCTTCATTGCTTATTTCTATTTTTGGAGCTTTGATCTTTCATTTAGGCCATATTTTTTTTTGTCTCTGAATGCCAGTTATGTTGTAAGCAGTGGAGCCTTAGGTATTCACCAGGGTAGGACAACCCAAGTTATGATGTTGTGATGCCATATGTGGGGGAGGGGTCAGAGAGGGAACAATGGCACTTGCTTTGGCTCCCTGCTGGTTTTCAGTCACTTCTGCTGCCCACAAGCAAATTGGGCCCTTCTGGTGCTGATTCCTGGGTGGGTGTGTTTGTGTATATTCTAGGACCCAAACGAACTCTCCTGTGAGGCTGAGAGTTTCTCCTGCTTGCTGGCCTCAGCCATATAAACTTGAAACTACAACTCAATACAAAGGTCAGCAGGCACCTGACATATGGCAACTAGCCTTGGTGTACCCTGAATCCTTTGCTGAGTGGCCTCTGATGTAGCACTAGGACCAAATTTGAATCTGCATCAATCTAATGAACACCAGTCACACCTACCTGTTGATTCACTGAAAATGTCACTCATCTCACACACTGCTTGAGGCCCTTTCACTGACTCAGCCTAACAGGCAGTTTGCAGCCAAAGGCAGGTGGAGCCAGGTCTGAGGGTAATTGGACCTATTGCTGACCTTTATCTAGGGTTGAATAATGGCTGAAGTGGCCTTGGTGTAGAGCTTAGCCCCTCCCATGCACACCCAGGTCCATCAGAGGAAGCCACAAACTACGGATTATTTTGTAGCTCCAAATAGGAAAACCAAGGTCAGTCACAGGTAGTGTCTGATATTGACCTACACTAGAGTTTCTCCCAAGTGGCCCCAGAACTAACACACACAGTAGCGGGCTTCAAATGACATCAGAGTACACACCAATAAAATCTGCAAGTAGTGCACCAAAAGGGAGATTGCAGCACACACCAGACCCTGCTGGGGCAAATCCACTTCAGGGGATCAGCCTGTGAACAGCAGTTAGTACAGTGTGGTCAAGGTCAGTTCTCACAGTCAGCCAGCCTGTGGGTCAACCACTCACAGATGGGCCAAAACCAGTTGACACTCTACTATAACAGTGGGCCTCAGATAAACCACACAAGGGACATTCCAGGAGAATCTAGTTCAGGTGATCAGGGAAACTGTGCCACTGAGCGCCACAGGACACATACTACCAAGACAGGGAGACAAAGCAAATCTATATAATACACAGAAAAATAGAGAAAGGAACTCAAAATGGGGAGACACAGAAACATGCCCCAAATAAGAGAACAGGAGAAATCCCCCCAAAATAAAAACTACCATACTTTTCATACTATAAGGTGCACCTCCCAAATTTGGGAGGAAATAGGGGCGTGTCTTATAGTCCGACTGTAGCTTGCTTGGCTTGCTGCCGGTAGGGGCTGTGGAGCAAGGTCACAGGAGGCAGGAACAGGGTTGCCGCTACATTTTCCTTCCAAATGGGGGGGGGTGCATCTTATAGTCCAGAAAATATGGGTAGATGAATTGGAGGCAAGTAATCTACAAGAAACAGATTTCAAAACAACTGTTACAAGGATGCTCAAGGAACTTTGGTGGAAGAATGGGTGAAGTTAATGAGAACTTCAACAAAGAGATAGTAAGCATAAAAAGGACATAAAAACCAAAAAGAACCATTCAGAAATGAAGAACACAATATGTGAAATGAATAGCATACTAGAAGGAATCAATAGCAGGTTAGATGCATCAGGGGTCAAATCAGTAATTTGGAAGACAAGGAAACACCCAATGAGAGAAGCACCCAATGACAAACAATAATTTTTAGAAATGAGGATAGTTTAAGGGACCTCTGGGACAACATGAGTGTAACAGCAACTGCATCATAAGGGTACCAGGAGTAGAGGGGAGAGAGCAAGGGATTGAGAACCTCTTTGAAAAAACAACAACTGAAAACATCCATAACTTGGTGAAGGAAGAAGACACACAAGTCTAGGAAGTATAGGGAGTCCCAAACAAGATGAACTCAAAGAGGCTCACAACCAAGACACATCATAATGAAAATGGCAAAGGTTAAACACAAACTAAAAATCTTAAAAGCAGCAAGAAAAAAACAGTTACCTACAAGGGAGCTCCCATAAAACTGTCACTGATTTCTTGAAAGAAAATTTGCCAGCCAGAAGGGATTGGCACAAAGTATGGAAGTGATGAAAAGCACGAACCTACAAACAAGACTATTCTATCCAGCAAGGCTCTCCTTTAAAATTAAAGGAGAAATAAAGAGCCTCGCAAAAAGATGAAGCTGAAGGAGTTTATCACCTCCAAACCAGTATTACAAGAAATGTTAAAAGACTTCCAAAAAAAAAAGAAAA